GGGCCCTACTGAGATAACATAATAAATAATGAGATAACCAAAACAGTTTAAATAAAGTCTACAGCGAGAATCTAAACCAGGCAAATAAGGAAGGATAGTAATAGAAAGCAAAGGTAACAATACACGGAAAAACTGCCCTCAGCAAGGGATAGTAGCCGGGGGATCTCTTAGTATCCCGAGGATCTCTTGGTATCCTCATCATAAACACTGGGGATCTCTCGGTATCCCGAGGATCTCTTAGTATCCTCTATAAGTAAGTCGGGGATCTCTTGGTATCCCGAGGATCTCTTGGTATCCTTAATAAGTAAACCGGGGATCTCTTGGTATCCCAATATATATATAGAAACACATGTGCCAGGGATCTCTTGGTATCCCGCACCCTCAGTCCAGAATATCTCGAATACAGAGGGATCTCCCGGGAGCCGTCCCGTAGTCCCAAACTAAACACACAACAACAACGATTCATAAATCTCGGAACAATGCAAAAAAATCAGGACACGAAGTAGTAAATTATAACCTAACATGCTTCACAGAGTACAAATAGCACAGTTAAAGCAAATAAGCAAGTAAGCCAGCTAAACATGAGTCTCTAAGCTAGCACAGGTACAAACTCACAGTTAAAATGAACAAGTAAACAAGAAATCTCAGTTTAAATACTTCAAGTAGAAACGGATTTACAACAATTAGCTCAAGTATGCGCTCGTCACCTCACGTACGGGGCATTCAAATATTCAAGATCATAACATAAGGGAAAAAAGGTCCCCCACACAAAGTTAGACAAGCCACTTACCTCGAACCGGCTCAATATAAACTAGAAACCACGCTCTTGCCACGAGTATCCGACTCCAAATGGCCCAAATCTATTCAATTCAATTACACATTGTAAATAACATCGCAAACACCTGGTTTTGCTATTAAATTTAAAGCTACGGCATGAAATTAGGTGAAATGACCAAAATGCCCTTCAGGCCAACGCCTCGGAATCGAATAATTTTCACATTTTTAGAACCCCCGTACCCTGAAGAGCCTAACCATATAAAAATCTCCCAAATCGGAGGTCAATTGCCCACTCAAAACTCAATAGTTTAGGTAGTGAAGTTTTACCCCAAATTAACCAACTTTTCATCCTAAATTCGAATTCCAATGATATATTTAGCTATATAATGATGAAATATAATGAAAAGGGGTCAAGGAAACGTTACCCAATGATTTTCTCTTCAAAACCCACTCAAAATCGCCTTCTCCCGAGCTCTCAATCGATTTTCAAACTTATGAAATTTAACCCTCGAAATTGATATTTCTGAACAGTCATTTCCGCTTCTGCGGACAAGGGACCGCAGAAGCGGTCCCGCTTCTACGAACCACGAGCCGCTTCTGCGGTTTTTCACTTAAGGCCAGACTCCGCTTCTGCGGTCCAAATTTCGCTTCTGCGGTCCCGCTTATGCGGAGGACAGGACCGCTTCTGCGGTTCCTGCGGATATGCCTGGAATCGCTTCTGCGATGAAGAAGCCGCTTCTGCGGTTCCCAAGCCGCAGAAGCGGAAATACCAGAAGACACAAAATCTGCTGCTGCACACTTTAGAATTTCTTCCCGTCGACCATCCGAAATCATCCCGAGGCCCCCGGGACCTCAACCAAAAGCACCAATACCACCTAATACCTTATTCAAACTTGTACCAATCCTTAAAATACCTAAAACAACACCGGAAACCCGATTAAATCAAAGATTCAAGCCTAAGAACTACAAGTTTCCTCCAAATACGCTTTCGATCAAAAACCCTAACCAGAAACACGTCGAACTGACCTGAAATTTTGCACCACACATCCCCAATGACATGATCGAAGCTTACTGCCGCACCTTCCGGAATTCCAATCCGACCCTCGGTATCGAACACCTCACTATCGCGCGGTACCTCTCAAAAATTCAAAACTTCGACATTTCAAGCCTAATCTGTAGCTACGAGCCTCACAATACATTCCGAACCACGCTCCCAACCCGTCACCTAACCGGAGCTACACGGAACCATCGGATTTCCATTCCGAGTCGTCTTCCACTCGTTCTGATTATGGGACCCATTTTTCAACACTTAAGCTCTCCTTTTAGGGACTAAGTTTCCCAAAAAACTTCCAACTAACACCGAACGTCCGGCATACAACATAGCAGGAAATGAACTTAGGGAATAAGCAGTAAATGGGGAATCCGGGGCATTAAATTCCAAAAACCGACGACCGGGTCTTACAAATTTAACCTTCCTTACCCTCCAACCTTAAAACATTCGTTCGTCCTCAAACGAATCATAGAGAACATACCTGGTAAAGAAAAGCATGAGCGGTAACTGGCTGCGCATATCCTGTCGGCTTCCAAGCCGCTCCTCGGCCGCTCGACACGCCACTGACCTTCCACCTCGAAGCGATTTTCTTTGAACCTCAACTCTGATCTGACTGTCCAAATAGTCCACTGGCTCCTCAACATAGGATAGATCCTGTCCAGCTGGCTGAACTGAAAATCCAACACATGCGACGGATCCCCATGATAATCTCCGGAGTATCGAAACATGAAATACCGGATGAACCCGCCAAACTGGGAGGTAAGGCAAGCTCTAGGCCACGCTCCCCAACGTCGCCTCAAGATCTCAAAAGGGCCAATAAACCCTCGGACTCAACTTTCCTTTCTTCTTCCAAACCGCATACGCCTTTCATAGGGAGACCGAAGCAAACCCGCTCACAACCATATATGAAACATCAACGAAACCTTCCCTGTCCGCGGTAATCTTCTA